CCTGCTTTGTTTATTTTATATTTTATTTTATTCTATTCTGTTTTATATTATTGGCTGCGCCATGGGGCACGCGGGATCTTAGTTCCCTGACCAGGGATCAAACCCATGCCCTCTGCATCGGAATTGTGGAGTCTTAACCACTGGACCCCCAGGGAGGTCCCTGTTTCTCATCATTACCCACCACAAACCAGCTCCAGGTGTGCCATGGACCAGTCATTTCCCAAGCCCACCCGCCCCTTCACACTGCTGTCCTAATCCTGCCTGGCATGACTCTGTTCTCTCTCAAAGGCCCAGCTCAGACGGCCCCTCCAGGAAAGCTCTCCGGGGTTCTCCAGTCCCTCCTGGATGTCTCCCATCAAGGCCTTTGCCTCTGCTGTTCCCTCGGCCGGGAGCCCTCTTCCGTCCGTGTGGCCCCTCACCTCCTTCTCGCCCGTGTTCCCCATTTGTGTTCCCCACTGGACGTAAAGATTTATTGCTCTAGCCTCCAGGACTAGAAAAGGGCCTGATATACAGTAAAGCCTCAGTTTGTTGAATGAATACATCTTGTCTCTTGATTTACCTGTCCTGCGCCGGCCGGGGCTTCCCACAAGCCGGGCGATCTGTTGAGAACAGAACTAGATAGCACGAGAAGCATCTCCTCGAATCTGGAGTCAGGTGAGGCTGCGGTGTTTCAGGTGAATCAGGAAAGTGAGTCGGGTGCACGTGAGGAAGGGTTCCCCGCGTGCAGGTCCAGCTACTGTGACTAAGCCGGGGTGGCTGGTGCAGGGAGTGGGCAGGGGATGACGGAGGCGGGGCCGGGGGAGTGAAGGTGGCACACAGCAGGTCTTCATTCAACAAGCGTTTGTTTAGCACCTGGACGGGAGAGAGGTTTGGGAGCTGTCAGGGAACACGCAGGAGGTAAAGCAGGGAGAGGGGCTGAGGCCAGACGGGAGAGGAGGGTGGATTTGGTACAGCTACACAGGCCACGACAGGGTGTTGGTGGGTATTAGGGAACCTCCCCTGATTTTCTTGTTTCTAATATTATCTTCAAACTTCCTTTTTTAAAAAAAATACATTTATTTATTTATTTTTGGCTGTGTTGGGTCTTTGTTGCTGCGTGTGGGCTTTCTCTAGCTGTGGCAAGCAGGGGCTTCTCTTTGTTGTGGAGCACGGGCTCTAGGCGTGTGGGCTTCAATAGTTGTGGCATGAGGGCTCAGTAGTTGTGGTGCACAGGCTTCGTTGCTCCATGGCATGTGGGATCTTCCCAGACCAGGGCTCGAACCTGTGCCCCTGCATTGGAAGGTGGATTCTTAACCACTGTGCCACCAGGGAAGCCCCCTCTAATATTACCTTTACTTGTAACAAAAGCTACAGCATATTAGGGTAGACAAACTTGAAAATACAAGGGACATCCAGTCTTGGCAGAGATACTCATAGTCTCTTGCTCGATCTGTTTACAATTTTAGAGAGTGAGAGGGATATTTGTAGTGTGTCTATTTTAAACTATGTTGAAGTTTAGTTTTGTGTTCACGTATGTAGATTTCAGAAAAGTATAAATGGTGCTATGCTATTGGGGCCCCCGCTTTCCTCCCCTCTTTCTTGTTTGTTTCCCTTTTATTTGCGTTCATCTCTCCCTGTCCTCCCATGAGACCCATTTCAGCAACCCATTACAGATTTTCCCCATGCAATGACTGTCATATACAAATATATATAGACCATTGCTTATAAACATGTATGTGGCAAACATCCTTCCTGTATGTCAGTTTGACAAACATGGGATCATATGATACACTTTCCTGAATTTTGCTATTCTCAGGTATTGACTGATGGAATTCCTTTAAGTTAACTGAAGCAAAGCTGGTTAACCCTTTTTAATGGTTACATAACATTCCATGGTGTGGAGGCACCAGAATATATTCACTCATTCTCTGTTGTTGGACATTCACTGCTCCCTGGTTTGTGTGTGTGTGTGTGTGTGTGTGTGTTGGCCACTATGAACACTGCTATATTCCATTAATCCTTTATGTATTGGTGCTTTTATTTCTTGGAATAGATTTCCAGGAGTGGCAATGCTTGGTCTAAGTATATGGATTTTTAAATGTAATGAATTTTTCCAGATTGCTTTCCGAAAGTGCTGCCACCGTTCCATTTCTACCTCTTTAATTTTCCCAGTCTATGGGCAATAAAATGATGTTTTATTCTTCTTTAATATGTTTTCCTCTGGAAACTAAGGAGTATGCACATTTTTTTCATATATCTGTAGGCCATTGGATTTGCTCTTTTGTGATTTGTCTCTTTTAATGGAATGTGTCAGAGTTCTTTATGGAATTATATAATACACACAGTTTTGTCATTTACCTTGAGACTATTGTTTTTCCAAATCCATAATTTACCCTTTGCTTTGTTTATAGTATCCCTCATTTCACATTTTTAATTTGCAAACATGTATTTCTTTTCCCCCCTTCCCCCATCTTCTGGGTTTCCTGTGCTAGTTGGGAAGTTCTTTTTTTTTTTTTTTTTTGCATTTAATTTTTAAAATCCATCTGAAATTTAGTTTTTCCTAAGGTATAAAAATAAAACTCTACTTTTAAAACTTGCTCTTCCTCTGTTTTGCGATGTCTCTGGCATTCCTTTTATTCCCGTCTGCTGCGTTGGGCCCAGGGACTTCTGTGATGGAAGCAGGCGTAGTAGACGTTTTACTGGAGGACTGGCCCTGAGAGTTGGAGTTCAAAGTCAGCACAGTGGCTCATGGCAGAGTTCATGCAAGATGCAGAGAAAAAATGTGACTCCGGATCAGTGAGGCGGTAAAGTCGAGCATCTCTTAAGAAGGCCTATGCCAGTCTGTGGGGACAAATGGAAGTGGAGGTGACGGTCTGAGACAGCACCACCAAGCCAGGAACCAGGGAGGTGGCCGAGACTGACTCCAAGACTGTGCAGGATCTCACCTCGGTGGTGCAGACACTCCTGCAACAGATGCAAGGTAAGCGGCAGACCGAGTCCAACCAGATCATTGGAAGCACTGAGGACATGAGCAGTTGCATCGATGACCCGGAGAAAAACATCGCAGACCTTGTGATACAAGCTAGGGTGGAAGAGCTGGGTGGTGAAGACAAGACCCCTGCCGCACAGAAGAGCTGAGTGGTGCTCATTTACACTGAAATCTGGAGCACCCTCTCTACAAGCCAAGAGAAGCCGGATGGCTTTTTGCAGCTAACTACTATGTGTGGACATGTTTTATATTCTAAAGTGTGCATTCTTCTTAGCACATGTTATATAGTTTTTATAGAGTGATTTCCCTCCCCTGCCCCCCATGTTTCCTGAACACGGTAACTTCACATCTTGGACCTTGGTCAGTTGTGCTGTTAAACACGAAAACTCTGGCAGTTCCTGAAAAAGAAAGAAAGAGAGAGAAAGGAAGGAAGGAAGGAAGGAAGGGAGGGAGGGAGGGAGGAAGGGAGAGAGAGAGAGAGGTGGGTGGGGGAGAGAGAGAGAGAAGAAAGAAAGAAAGAAAGAAAGAAAGAAAGAAAGAAAGAAAGAAAGAAAGAAAGAAAGAAAGAAAGAAAGAAAGAAAGAAAGAAAGAAAGAAAGAAAGAAAGAAAGAAAGAAAGAAAGAAAGGAAAAGAAAGAAAGAAGGAAGGAAAGAAGGAAGGAAAGAAGTAAGAAGGAAGGAAAGAAAAAGAAAGAAAGAAAAGAAAGAAAAAAGAAAGAAAAAAGAGAAAGGAAGGAAGGAAGGAAGGAAGAAAAGAAAGCCTATGCCAACCAAAGAGGGGCTGGGAACCTAGGAAGAGTAAAAAAGTGGAGTCAAGGAGACAGAGGGTTAGGATTTTCAGTAGCCTCGATGGGTGAGGGCCTCCAACGCTGTTACCCAAGGTCAGAGAGTAACCCTGGCTTTGGTCCAGCTCACTCAGTACCGCTGGGGCTTTGACTCTCTGGTGGCTTTGCAGGATCTCCTGATACAAGCATTCTCATCCACTGTACACTTCACTTCATCTTTCATCCAACAAGTGTTTATGAGAAGACGACAAGGAAAAAGTGCCTATCCTTGAGGAGCTTATTCTCTAGTGGGGGAAACAGACCATAAATAGGATAAATAAAATAGCTAGGAGGTTAGCTAGTGACAGGGACCAAGGAGAGAACTAAATCTGGGAGGGAGGGAGGAAGTATGGGGGGAGGGGCCCAATTTAAGAAAAGGTGACCCGGAATGACTTCACTGAGGTGACATCGGCGCCAAGACCTGAAGGAAGTGAGGCTGTGATCCATGCAGAGTGGAGGAATTCCAGGTACAAAAGCCCTGAGGGAGGGGTGTGCCTGTAGCCCAGCATGGCTGCGGCTGAGTGGACCCGGGACAGTGACTGGAGATAATGTCACAGGGAAAACTGGCTGGAGGCTGTAGGGTCCCACAGGTTCCTGAGGCAGATGAGAAGCCTTTGTAAGGTCTTTAAGGAAAGAACCACATCATAGCAGCAAAACTGAGCAGAAAGTTGTTCCCACCTCTAGAAGAAACGATGATTGTATGATGCAACCGCGGTGTTAGCCAACTAGCCAGCGCTACGGTGGCAATCATGTTGCAATATAAGTGCATCAAATCACCGTGTCATGCCCCTTGAACTTACACAGTGCTAAACGTCAACTCTATCTCAGTTAAAGAATTGGGCAGAAAGCAGAGATTCCCCACATACCCCTGCCCCTATGCATATACAGCTTCCCCTAGCATCAACACCCCACCACAGGGTACATCTGTTACCACTGATGAAGCTGTGTGGACATGTCATCACCACCCAGAGCCCAGAGTTGACATGAGGCTCACCCCTGCTGTTGTGCATTCTGTGGGGTTGGAAAAACATCAGAGTTGAGAGAAGTTTCCCTCTCTTCCTACTTTGCTGAGCATTTTTTTTTTAATTGAAGTCTAGTTGATGTACAATATTATATAAGTTACAGGTGCACAATATGGTGATTCACAATTTTTAAATGTTATCCTCCATTTATAGTTATTATAAAATATTGGCTATATTCCGTGTGCTGTACAATATGTCCTCGTAGCTTATTTTGCTGAGAGTTTTTATCGTGAAGCCATGTTGGATTGTGTCAAATGCTCTTTTTGGTTTACTTTTTTAAAAATAATTAATTAATTAATTAATTAAATTTTGGCTGCGTTGAGTCTTGGTTGCTGTGTGCGGTCTTTCTCTAGTTGCGGCGAGCAGGGGCTATTCTTCATTGTGGTGCGCGGGCTTCTCATTGCGGTGGCCTCTCTTGTTGCAGAGCACAGGCTCTATGCGTGCGGGCTTCAGTAGTTGTGGCACGCGGGCTCAGTAGTTGTGGCTCGCGGGCTCAGGAGTTGTGGCACACTGGCTTAGTTGCTCCGCGGCATGTGGGATCTTCCCGGACCAGGGCTTGAACCTGTGTCCCCTGCATTGGCAGGCGGATTCTTAACCACTACGCCACCAGGGAAGTCCTTGGTTTACTTTTTGACAGTTGAACTTTTCCTCAGACATCAGTAAGAGGGCTTCTGACCTGTATTTGTGTGTTACAGCCTGTGGGAGCTTGATTAACCGTGAACTGTCCCTGAGTCTGACACCCTGGCCCTCGGGGCTCATGAGATCAGGTGTGGTGAGTCCCCTGGGGGATGACAGCAGGGCTGCTTGCTCCCCCATCCACTTCCTGCCAACACCCCCCATGCTGGGCTCACCTCGCCTGTGTCTCGGACTTTGCATCTGGTTCCGCTGACCTCTGCTTTTCTGCTCCGAGACCCTGTGCACAGTCTTGGTCCTTGTTGCCTGTGGTTCTGCTTCTTGCTTCCTTTGAGAGAGGCCCCCAGCCTCCTCGGGCTTCCTTCCCGAGAGGCTGGCCCGCCAGCTGTGCCGCTGACCTCAGACGGGGGCTCGCAGAGACAGAGGAGGTGGCCTGGCGCCCTTTGCTCAGGACAGAACGCTCACTTCCTCCTGTGCTGGCTGAAGACCTCGGATCAGCAGCTCTCCCCACACCTGGTGATTACAGCATGACTGTAAACAAAGCCTCTCGCCTCTAAGGAGGAGCCCCTGCACACAAGCCCAGGGCCTGCACACAAAGCCGCTGATTTGCACCCTGAGGGCAGCCTTAGTTGGGAGATGATTAGGGCAGGTCTGTCTTTGTAATTAAACCAAAGAACACTACTAGCTCTCCAGCCTCTTCATCGTACATCATCCATACCTTCCGACTGCACTACCAAATGTTTCCCGTGCCAGCGAACCCTCTCTGCCACCACCTGTTTCTGAAGAATCATTATCTCCGTTTCTACATGAGGCCCAGAGGCCCAGAGAGGTGAGGGAAAGGCCGAAGACCCCCCAGCAAGGATATAGCACCCTGTGGAATCAAACCTACTTTCATGCAAACAAGCGCAGTGCAAATAAGGTCTGGCCTCCTGGCTGTGGCTTCTTCCAGGAGCCTGAGGTTGGACCAGCGGGGCAGTTCTCAAGTTTTCTTATCTCGGAACCCTTCATACCCTATGGGTGGGTCTCACACATTGAACCAGTCTTTCACCTATTTGTTGTTTTGTGAATCATGCATCGGTCATTTGGAAAACATTGGTTCATTGGGTTACGCTGCTTTTCCAAATATGACACATTTCGTCATACAATATTTTTAAAAATCACACATATATTAGATCTCATCAGAAACGTCTTTCAGGAAGGGAAGCTATCAAGGCCGCTGTGGTGAATATCAGTTTTGCACCATTCTAGTTTTTGCTTGAAAACTCAAATTTCATCCCGGGCAATAATATAATAAATACCGGCAGTGTTTTCTTCTCAAAGTGATAGGCTCGCTTCCTTCATTTTCACAAAAATGTCCTCGCAAAACCCAAGCCTGAATAACCGGTTTGTCGAGTGAGTGTGCTCTCATGGGGGTCCACGGCGGGTGGCCAGAGCTTCCCGGGAGACAACCATCACCCCTCGCTGTGCAGAAGGGCTTCCTGTGTCCTTCCCATGTTGTCCCACGTAACATTAAAAACAGGCACTTGAGGGTCGAGATTTAATAAAATTAATAATTATTACTGCTTCATCAAGACACTCTCATGGGAAACTGGCTCTTTTTTTCTAAATGGCACGTGCCTGGTGGGGCAGAGCACAGTGTGTCCAGATTCCTTCTGGGGGGTCACCATCGCTTTTGCGTCATCAATGCAAATATTCACGTAGTGAAAAAGACAATTCACGTCTTAGTGTTATTACGAAAATAGTTTTGACCTTGCAGACCTTCTGAAAGGGTCTCAGGACACTTGGGCAACCTGTGAGCTGCTGGACCTCGGTTTCAGTCTCTTGCCGCCAGCAGGTAGGGACCCCTTCAGCCCCTAAGGCATGGGAGGCCTTGGTTGCGATTCTGGGCAGATGAGCCCAGGAAGACCACAAGCTGGGCCTGGTTCATTTAAAGCGAACTTTCTCTTTTCTTCCCCAGCAAGTCCTGGGCAACGCTCCCTGGTTGGGACCCTTCCCTGGGAAAAGCTCGCGCACATCGGGTGGGGCAGACAGGGCCAGGACCCAGCCGCGATAAGGCCGAGTTGGATGCTGTGTGAGGATGTCCTTGGGGGACTCAGGGGGACCGGACATCAGGGAGGGTCTTGGAGGAGGGGGAGGAGTGAGCCTTCGAAGGGGAAGGGCTTCCTGAGTCAGAGTGTAGGGGGGGAAGTCTGCAGAACCCCTCAGGGGAAGAGTGTGGGGAGGCGGAGCTAAGGGTCTAGGGTTCCAAGGTCTTGGAGGCTGGGTCAGCCAGGGCATTCAGTGCTAAATAAGGAATTTGGATTTTATTCAGCAGACCACAGGGAGGTAATGAATGATATAAGTGATTCTATATTTAAGGCAAGCCCCAATTTTCCTAGAGAAAAAATTAAAAAAAAAAAAAAAGTAAGGTATCTTGCTTCCCTGGTGGCGCAGTGGTTGGGAGTCCGCCTGCTGATGCAGGGGACACCGGTTCGTGGTGCCCTGGTCCGGGAAGATCAGACACCTTGGCACTTAAATATTTAATCACGGATGTGGCTGATGAGTAATGAATCAGCACCAGGAAAACTTTTGGTCTCTTGTACCAGTTTTAAAGGATCTTTAGATATGGTCTCAGAGGACAGAGGGACCAATGGCAAGTCTATTTCTACACCAAGTTTAATATTTTTAAGG